CAATGCAGGGGTGAGCTGAATGCTATCTGAAAGTTTAGGATAAAGTTCAATATGTTAGAGACATCATGCACTTCTTTTCAGTGCTAGAAAGCACTAGAAAGCATAGACAATTACAAAGTGCTGATCCTATTTAAGTCTCATTTAATCTCTTCAATCCAGGAGAAAGGCTACCTTCAATATTTTTTCACATAAAACCTTCAATTGACTCATAGTCAAGTTGCTGAAACAAAAAATTGAAAAAATGACCAAAGAGTGAACAGCTTTACAGTTTCTACTTTATAAGTAAATTAGGGGAAATATTTTCAAAAGAAACATTTGTTGCATCAGTTTTCAATGCACAAATGTCAAATTGTATGTTCTGGGAAGACTTGTACCCAACACCAACAGCCCAGGGGACTCATCTCTCTTTCTTCATTTCCAGAATCATAGAACATCCTGAGTTGGAAGGGACTCACAAGGTTCATGGAATCCAACTTCTGGCCCTGCACAGGATAACTCCAAGAATCACACCATGTGCCTGAGAGCGTTGTCCAGACAGTTCCTGAACTCAGACAGGCTTGGTGCTGTGACCACTTCCCTGGGGAGCCTGTTCCAGTGCCCAGGCACTCTCTGGGTGAAGAACCTTTTCCTGATATTCAGTCTAAACCTCCCCTGACACAATTTCAGGCCATTCCCTTGGGTCACTGATCACCACAGAGAAGAGATCAGTGCTTGCCCTTCCATTTTCCCTCACAAGGAAGTTGTAGACTGCAACACGGTCTCCCCTCGCTCTCCTCTTCTCCAGGCTCAACAGACCAAGTAACCTCAGCTTTTCCTCCTGTGGCTTCCCCTCGAGGCCCTTCACCATCCTTGCTGCCCTTCTTTGGACACTATCTAAGAGCTTAATATCTTTCTTATATTGTAGTGCCCAGAACTGCATACTATAATCAAGGTGAGGCCGCACCAGTGCAGAGTAGAGCAGGACAATCCCCTCCCTCGATCAGCTGGTGATGTTTTTGTCTGATGCACCCCAGGA